GCGTCTTAAAGACGCATTTTTGATGCCTTTTAATAACAAGATTAAGATAAAAAAAGACGTCTTTTCGATGTCGAAAAAAGATGTCTTTTAGATTTGGATATTCGACTAAAAAAATGCGTCTTAAAGACGCATTTTTTATGTCTTTTTATGACAAGATTAAGATAAAAAATTTGCATAATCGATTAAAAAATGACGTCTTGAAGACATCGTAAATAAGACTTTTAAAGACGTTTTTTCGACGTCTTTTTTCCTACTGGGATATATATATATATATATATATATATATATATATATATATATATATATATAAAATTTATATATATATATATATATATATATATAAAATTTATATATATATATATATATATATATATATATATATATATATATATATATATATATATATATATATATATATATATATATATATATATATATATATATATATATATATATATATATATATATATATATATATATATATATATATATATATAATGGAACATACAAAAATAGATAATGCATTAAAAGAAAAACAACGAAACTTAGAAGATCGATCACGCCGAAACAATCTTAGGATTGAAGGAATTTACGAGAATGATAAAGAATCATGGGGGGATAAAGAAAAAAAGTCCAAACATTCTTCACCGAAAAACTTGGACTAAAAGATGTTGAAATTGAAAGAGCTCATCGCACTGGACGAAAAAACGATGGACGACCAAGGACTATAATATTAAATCTTCAGAAATATAAAGACAAAATAAAAATATTGAAGGAATTGTATCGATTCAAAGGCACAAATACGTTCGTAAACGAAGATTTTTCTCGAGAAACCGTCGCTATTCGAAAAAAATTGTTCGCTGAAGTGAAAGAAAGGCGATTGAATGGTGAAAGTGTTACGGTAAGGTGTAACAAAAAAGTTTATATTAAAACTTCTTTTAAAAGCAATTTTAACGAATAATTTTATGGGCATTCCTAAAAAGAAATCTTAAATAAAATATATTATTCATGGCTACAAATGAAAACTTTGAATCTCGTGTTTTTAAAATTCAAAAAACAAATTACTCTAAGTTTAATGAAAACTCTGATTACAATATTTATCACAATAAATTTTCAGATTGTTCATATTACTTTCCTAGCCAACTAGAAAGGTTTCTTTTTAAGAATGAGAATGAAAGAAATAATAATCAAATGTTAATTCTCCACCTCAATAAAAGAAGCCTAAATAGCAATTTGGAAAAACTTTTAGATTTATTAGAAGAAACTAAACATGTTTTTAATATAATTTGTTTAAAGGAAACTTGGATTTCTTTAGAAGACCTAAATAATTTTCATCTACCTCATTTAATGGAAAGGAAAACAAATAAGCGCGGTGGTGGAGTTTTAATTTATGTTCACGAAAATTTTGAGCATTGTTTTAGGCATGATTGAAGCGTTTCTGACTGCGATAAAGAAATTGCAACTATAGAAATTACTAACTGCAACAAAAAATTTTTTCTACTAAGCTCAAGGCCGGCGCGATAGGGGGGTGTGGGATGGTGTAACACCCCCCCTTCCCCCATCATCAATGATTTTTCTGGAGACGATGCTAATTTCCCAATCATTGAAAATAAAATAACTACTAAGAGCTGCAATACACCCTGGATCACTAAGGGCTTTAAAAAATCGTCCAAAATTAAACAAAAACTGCATATAAATTTTTTGAAAACAAAAACACCTAAAAACGAAAAAATTTACAAGGACTACAAAAATCTATTTGAAAAAATTCGCAAAAATCTAAAAAAAAAATATTACTCCCAATTACTCAATACATTTAAAAAATGACACAAAACGCACATGGCAAATAATGAATGAAATTATTGGAAAACAAAAATCATGCTCAGGTTTTCTGCCACAAATGGTTAAAGTCGATAACAAAAGTTTATACGAACCAAGAACTATAGCTCAAGAATTTAACAAATTTTTCATCGATATAGGTCCAACACTTTCTAAAAAAATCCCTAACACCAAATCTTTATTTACTGATTTTCTAGTACCCATTGATAATTGCATTGGTTCAGTTGAGTTGTCTTCTGAATTATTGTTTGAAGAGTTTGAAAGAGCCTTCAAATCTTTAAAAAATAATAAAGCAATTGGAGCAGATCAAATAAATGGAAACGTTATTATAGATTGTTTTGAACAGCTAAAAGTTGTTCTTTTTAAAGTTTTTAAAGATTATATATATATATAATTTGTAAAAATTTGAAACTGTTAATGCTTGTTTGAACTTATTTAAGGTTCTGACGACAAGATCAGAACCTTAAATAAGTTCAAAGAACCATCTATTGTAACGCGTTTGCAGACTGGCTGAGTATTTGCTTGAGAAAATGCACTACCAGCTCTTTTCATTAATACTTCAGCTGACTTAGAATATGCAGAACCTTAAATAAGTTTTTTTGACAATATATAGTTGTAATACGACCAACAAATGTAAAATTGAAAAAAAAAAAATTTATATATATATATATATATATATATACATATATATATATATATATATATACATATATATATATATATATATATATATATATATATATATATATATATATATATATATATATATATATATATATATATATATATATATATATATATATATATATATATATATATATATATATATATATATATATATATATTTAGCATAGGTTTTTTGGAAACATTCTTATACCCAATAAACTGTATTAAACAATACAGTTTATATATGTATAGAACAATATTGAACAGCCGATTACATGCAATAAAATGGTAATAGAAGCAATTCCAAATGTAATATATATATATATATATATATATATATATATATATATATATATATATATATATATATATATATATATATATATATATATATATATATATATATATATATATATATAAAAGATTAATTTTGCTGTGAGCATATATTCAGCAAGAGTGCTCGATGTCATCAGAATAAATAAACATTGCAGAAAGTTTTTGCTATATTTTAACAACAAAACATGGAAGAAAAACTTAGCGCACGACTGCTTTGATGTCACAATGGGCTGTTTTGATGGTACAGAAGTTTTTGAACTGGTGGGCCTATATATATAGGACTCACAATCAAAAATAATAAATAAAAAAGACGTTGGACTACATTGTGACGATAACTTGATGGTACTTCGTAAAAAAACTGGATCACAAATTGATAGCCGAAAAAACATAATTAAAATTATTAAAATAATCGGCTTTAAAATAGAGATCCAAACAAACCTACCCGCATTCAACTTCTTAGATGTCTCCTTTAACTTAAAAAAAAACTCCTACCAACTTTTCAAAAAACCAAATGAATATCTACGTTACATCCACACATTTTAACCATCCTCCGCAAATAATAAAGCAAATTCCCATCTCTATCAACGACAGATTATCACAAAATTACTCAAATGAAAAAGCATTTAATTTATCGATAACAGAATACTAAGATGAATTAAGAGGAAATGGCTTCACTGGTTTTAAATTAAAGTATAATCCCCAAAAAAGAGAAAAAAAGAAAAAAAAAAGAAAAAAAAATATGGTTCAACCCCCCGTATAGTAAAAGCGTTTCTACCAATGTTGGACATATCTTCCTAAACTTAATCGACAAACATTTTCCAATATCCCAATATATCAATATTCAATCGAAAAAAAAACATTTCCAATATAGCAATATTCAATCGAAACACCATCAAGGTGGTAACCCTAGAAATAATTTATTTTTTGAGTTCGAGCTATTTATTGATATTTTGTAGTAAAACCTAATTCAATTTCAAAAAATAAAAAAATAAAAACCTTCAAAATTTTTTTTTGCCTTGATTATCCAAAAATAAATTTGTTAAACTTCAAACATTGGGGTGTATTTGAAAACATAATATCTCACTATATAATAACTCTACCGCTTTGAAATTTTGCAGAGATGTTTATTATATATAATATTTTCATTTGTCGTAGAATTTTTTGATTTGCCTCGATAACTCTAAAGTTATGCAAAATATTTCAGAGTTTATTTATGTAGTCACTCAAATAAGTACCAAAATTCATATAAATCAGAACATTTCTCATTATATAACAAAATCCTATAAATCCAAAATGATTTATCAATGTCTTATAAAAATGCCCTGAAAATTTCAGTTCATAAATCCATACCATTTTTAGAAAACCATGTTTTGAAATGTGGAATGTCTCGAAAATTATTAAACCTGGGAAACGAGACTTTTAATAAAGTATTTCAAAAATAATGCTTAAAAACCACCAGGTATATATGAAGTTTGTTTTTCATTTAAAACCTCAACATCCACTATGCCTTTTTTAACTTTTCTTAGTTTTTTACGCTGTTTTATAACCATACTATAAGATTTGAGCTTCATATATTTAACACGCTTATTATCAGCTTCCATTAGTTTCTTAGAAGTTAATTGTCCTTTAATTCCAAAACTTTCTAAAACAGATTTTACTCCTTCCCCACCATCATAAAAATGAAGAACTGCAGAATTTATTGCCAATTCAAACGTTCTTCTGTATAAGAATACATTTTTAGGACAGCGAGTCCATATTATTGCGTTGAATGCTTTATTTGCATTTTGTGTTTGTCCGTGGAAGCATTTGATTAACATTTTATCATCAGATAAATCTTGAAAAATTGGTTTTAGCTTCAAATAAATTCATATTGGTAAATTAATTTTATCTTCATGAAACTTAGTACAATTTATTTGATTAAGTTGCCACTTACACCAAAAAATTTTATCTCTGGGACACATAGCATGGCGACAAGCAGGATCTTTAAGTGCAGTGCAATGGTAGAGAATGGCTCCTATAGCTTTCTTCATTGCGTATACATTATCAGAATTTCTCCGAATAGCAAGACCGTAGTAGTTTTGCATGGAATTAATAATAGTATCTGTAAGTTTACCTTTACCATGTATTGGAGTTTTTGTCCCTTTAAAGTTTATCGCTAAATTTCAAACTCTAGTACCAAGTCGCTTTTGTACATGCCAAAAACACTCTAATTTCTCAATGTTAACTTCGTTTTTATTGTAAGGATTAGATTCAACAACTTCTTTAAAAAAAGAAGTATCTCCATCTCCTAAATATTGAGAACAAATTAAATTGTTTTTTTGAATGGAACGTGCAAAAATTTGAACAGCACCGGCAGCTTCCATGGCACCAGAAGATTTAGTATGGTTTATATGACAAACATGATTTACTTTCCATCTATCATGTTTAGGTGTACTTTCCTTGGATCTCCACATTGCACAACCTTTACAGTGTTTTGAGAAAGCCTGATAATCTAAAATTTTATCACCAACAACAGGTGTAACTACACCATTCAATGATGCATGACCTCTCTTCTGCCAAGAACCATCTATTGTAACGCGTTTGCAGACTGGCTGAGTATTTGCTTGAGAAAATGCACTAGCAGCTCTTTTCATTAATACTTCAGCTGGCTTAGAATATGCAGTTGAAACACAGTTGTCATTCAAGTTGTCAAAAGCTGATTCACCAATACCATACATGTTAAAACAGTTAGTAAACATTTTCGATGCTGCCTTTCCCCGACCAATCTCACAAAAACTAATGACTGCTCGAACATTTGACTCATACAACTTGCGAGCACGTTTAGTTTTTCGATTAGAATCGTGGCACTCTTTATTTGTGAAACAGGAGTTAATCCAACCACAGCTCATACATTTCAATTCTAATAAATGAGCAATCCCATTCTTTTTTTTAAGTTATCAATAAATTCTATCGGTTGTTTGTTATCACATTTAGGACAGTGCAGAATTGGTAGAATTGACTTTTTCATTTGTTCAATATCCATAAACATAAAATATTTACTATCATCATTATTAATAGATTCAGTAACAAAACCTGTAGTTTTAAGTTTCCTCGAGCTTGAACATTCAGTTTCTAAATCTGCTTTAGTTTTGTTGTTGTTAAAGTTTTTTTCTTTGGTTTTAACCATGTGGCGATTCTTTGGTGGTATTTTTTTCTTTTTTCTTTGCAAATTTTGTTTTGTTGAAATCATTTTTACTGACTAAAATCTAAATAATAAAAAATTCAGATAACAGACTTCAAAACAAAAAAGAAATTTGCCTTCGATAAGCAATTCATATCACCAGACACACGTCATGCTTATACTTTTAACTTAAAAAAGTGTTTTAGTTTTTGAAGTGTAGCTAATAGTCACTTTATAGCTTTAAAGTATAGCCATAAAAATGTTTCAAAAATAGTATTCTGATGCATTTTTTAGGGCATTTACATGTTGCTAGGGCGTTGCCAGGGAAAAGTAACAGCAACCAATTCACAATTATATCAAAATATTGACAATTATATTAAAAAAACTTATTCATGTTATACATTTTTGAAAAGGTATTAAAATTCTTCATTAAATATAATAAAAATATATTTTTTGAAAATTTCATCAAAAATCAACATTCATTTTTAGGGTTACCACCTCAAAGTGAGTTACAACTGTACCAAAAATATCGAAAGAGTTATAAAAAGCTACAACAAGAAAATCAGTTCAAAAAGACCAAAAGAATACCCACCCCGCAATTGCATAAATAAAGAAAACTGTCCTATAATAGAAAAATGTAGAGCCTCAAACGTTATTTATAAATGTATAGTATCCCCGCCCCCTACCACTCCAGAAAAAGTATGTTTTGGCCTAGCAGAAGGTGAATGGAAGAAATGATGGGCTAACCACAAACATTCATTCACAAACAAAATGATGAAAAATTCAACCATCCTTTCAAAGTATATATGTCAGATAAAAGGAAACTTAATAATAACACCCAAATTAACCTGGTCAATAGTTAAACGAGTCCCCGCCTACAGCAACGTAACAAAAAATGCTTGCTTTGCCATTATGAAAAACTTTGCATAATATCATACAAAGGTACGCAAGAACTAACATTTTATAATTGTTTTTGAACGTCACAATGTTGTTATATAGTATATTTTTTAACGAAAAAATCAATTATTTAGCTCTGATATCGTTCATCGAGCACTCTTGCTGAATATATGCTCACAGCAAAATTAAACTTAAATTCATTTAAGTTTTAAGTTGAAATTCATTATGACCGTAGTAGAAAGTGACCGTATATTTTGACTTTTTTGTGTACAGATTTTTAAAGTTTTTATGCGCGTAATTTATTTTAAAAAATTATTTTCACATAGCGTTAAACTATATTTATAATACCAAGTAAAACATGACGAAAACTAACAAAACATGACGAAAACTAACAAAATATACTATATAATAACATCGCGACGTACGTCGCGATGTTATTATATAGTATATTTTATTGAATAAGATAAATTTAGTGTTATTAAAGATTACAATATACAATTTAAATGATAAATAATATGTAAATGTAGTAGTAAACATAGAACATTTTTGTTAGTTTTCGTCATGTTTTACTTGGTATTATAAATATAGTTTAACGCTATGTGAAAATAATTTTTTTAAAATAAATTACGCGCATAAAAACTTTAAAAATCTGTACGTACGTTCAAAAACAATTAAAAATTGGTTTATTATCATGAGAGCAGCAATTACTTAATATTTTAATTAAACATTCCAAACAATTCCTATTAAAAAACGGTTTTCAATATACTCATATAGTGTCGCTTTAAGAGCATTTTAATGTAAAAAAAGTCTCTTACGACTACAATTTTAATTACCTCGTCTCTTAAGCTGTTTTTGATTGTCATCGAAATGTCAAAGCAATTAATTTATGCGGAAGTACATTAAATTTAATTGTTTTTTAAAAAATTTTTAAAAAACCGCAATTATAACGACTAGAAAGTTTTTTTTAATTAGTGGTGTTTTTGTTTTTGATTTAATAAAAAACATTTTTTAAACATGCGTAAATGTTGCTACATCGACTATCTTATAGCCTGACTCGCAACGGAGTGCTGCTACATCGACTGACAAATAGCCTGACTCGCAACGGAGTGCTGCTACATCGACTGACAAATAGCCTGACTCGCAACGGAGTGCTGCTACATCGACTGACAAATAGCCTGACTCGCAAGGGAATGCTGCTACATCGACTGACAAATAGCTTGACTCGCAAGGGAGTGCTGCTACAACGACTGACAAATAGCCTGACTCGCAAGAGAGTGCTGCTACATCGACTGAGGGTTTGGTTTGGCCAGGCAGTCTATCAATTAAAAAAAAAAATTTAATTTTTAAAACTTTTTCTGGTCTGGTTTATTAACGCGCTCTTTAAAACTACAGTTTATGGGAAATATTTTTTGATGCTACGCAAGAGACATGCAAGACTATATATATATATATATATATATATATATATATATATATATATATATATATATATATATATATATTGAAAATTTTGCCGACAAAAAAAAAAAAAAAAGGTCCTCGTTTTCCAAAATTTGCCGACTGTCATGACGACATTTACCGACTGTCTAACCTATATCGAAAGGGTTGACATTTACCGACTAACTAGTCTAAAACGGTCCAATTTGCCGACTAAGGGTCCAGTTTGCCGACTAATATATATATATATATATATATATATATATATATATATATATATATATATATATATATATATATATATATATATATATATATATATATATATTATATTTAATATTAATTTATAATAATAATTATTTATTAATATTAATTATAATATATATTTTATAATTAATATTATTAAATAAGTATTATTAATTTAAAATAACAATTTATATATAATAATTAATATTATATTATATTATAATAACTAACTAAATAAAAAATTGGCAATAAAATTAACAGCTAGTTCAATTTTTTTCTAATAACTGCAGTAAATTATTGAATAAAAGATTTCTTACAGATTGCGATATTATTTTTTATTGTCATTGTATCTGGATGGTTGATACCTAAAATTTCAGTTTGTATTTTTTCAACAGAATAATAAATTTCTAAAGCTTCGTTATATTTTCCCATATCGTACAAACAGCTTGCGATATTATTTTTTGTTGTCATTGTATTTGGATGGTTGATACCTAAAATTTCAGTTCGTATTTTTTCAACAGAATAATAAATTTCTAAAGCTTCGTTATATTTTCCCATAGCGTTCAAACAGCTTGCAATATTATGTTTTATTGTCATTGTATTTGGATGGTTGATACCAAAAATGTCAGTTTGTATTTTTTCAACTGAATAATAAATTTCTAAAGCTTCGTTATATTTTCCCATATCGTACAAACAGCCTGCGATATTATGTTTTGTTAACATTGTATTTGGATGGTTGATACCTAAAATTTCAGTTTGTTTTTTTTCAACAGAATAAAAAATTTCTAAAGCTTCGTTATATTTTCCCATATCGTACAAACAGCCTGCGATATTATTTTTTGTTGTCATTGTATTTGGATGGTTGATACCTAAAATTTCAGTTCGCATTTTTTCAACAGAATAATAAATTTCTAAAGCTTCGTTATATTTTCCCATATCGTACAAACAGCTTGCGATATTATTTTTTATTGTCATTGTATTTGGATGGTTGATACCAAAAATGTCACTTTGTATTTTTTCAACAGAATAATAAATTTCTAAAGCTTCGTTATATTTTCCCATATCGTACAAACAGCCTGCGATATTATGTTTTGTTGACATTGTATTTGGATGGTTGATACCTAAAATTTCAGTTTGTATTTTTTCAACAAAATAATAAATTTCTAAAGCTTCCTTATATTTTCCCATAGCGTTCAAACAGCTTGCGATATTATGTTTTATTGTCATTGTATTTGGATGGTTAATACCTAAAATTTCAGTTTGTATTTTATCAACAGAATAATAAATTTCTAAAACTTCGTTATATTTTCCCATAGCTTTCAAACAGCCTGCGATATTATGTTTTGTTGTCATTGTTTCTGGTTGGTTGATACCTAAAAATTCAGTTTGTATTTTTTCAACAGAATGATAAATTTCTAAAGCTTTGTTATATTTTCCCATAGCGTTCAAACAGCTTGTGATGTTATTTTTTATTGTCATTGTATTTGGATGGTTGATACCTAAAATTTCAGTTAGTATTTTTTCAACAGAATAATAAATTTCTAAAGCTTCGTTATATTTTCCCATAGCGTACAAACAGCCTGCGATATTATTATTTGTTGTCATTGTATCTGGATGGTTGATACCTAAAATTTCAGTTTGTATTTTATCAACAGAATAATAAATTTCTAAAGCTTCGTTATATTTTCCCATATCGTTCAAACAGCTTGCGATATTATTTTTTATTTTCATTGTATCTGGATAGTTGATACCTAAAATTTCAGTTCGTATTTTATCAACAGAATAATAAACTTCTAAAGCTTCGTTATATCTTCCCATAGCTTTCAAACAGCCTGCGATGTTATTTTTTATTGTCATTGTATTTGGATGGTTGATACCTAAAATTTCAGTTAGTATTTTTTCAAAAGAATAATAAATTTCTAAAGCTTCGTTATATTTTCCCATAGCGTACAAACAGCCTGCGATATTATTATTTGTTGTCATTGTATCTGGATGGTTGATACCTAAAATTTCAGTTTGTATTTTATCAACAGAATAATAAATTTCTAAAGCTTCGTTATATTTTCCCATAGCTTTCCAACAGCCTGCGATATTATGTTTTGTTGTCATTGTATCTGGATGGTTGATACCTAAAATTTCAGTTTGTATTTTTTCAACAGAATAATAAATTTCTAAAGCTTCGTTATATTTTCCCATAGCGTTCAAACAGCTTGCAATATTATGTTTTATTGTCATTGTATTTGGATGGTTGATACCTAAAATTTCAGTTTGTATTTTTTCAACAGAATAAAAAATTTCTAAAGCTCCGTTATACTTTCCCATATCGTAACAACAGCCTGCGATATTATTTTTTGTTGTCATTGTATCTGGATGGTTGATACCTAAAATTTCAGTTTGTATTTTTTCAACAGAATAATAAATTTCTAAAGCTTCGTTATATTTTCCCATAGCGTTCAAACAGCTTGCAATATTATGTTTTATTGTCATTGTATTTGGATGGTTGATACCAAAAATGTCAGTTTGTATTTTTTCAACAGAATAAAAAATTTCTAAAGCTTCGTTATATTTTCCCATATCGTACAAACAGCCTGCGATATTATTTTTTGTTGTCATTGTATCTGGATGGTTGATACCTAAAATTTCAGTTTGTATTTTTTCAACAGAATAATAAATTTCTAAAGCTTCGTTATATTTTCCCATAGCTTTCAAACAGCCTGCGATATTATTTTTTATTGACATTGTATTTGGATGGTTGATACCTAAAATTTCAGTTTGTATTTTTTCAACAGAATAATAAATTTTTAAAGCTTCGTTATATTTTCCCATAGCGTTCAAACAGATTGCGATATTATTTTTTGTATCAGTTGTGAATTTATTATTCTCTCCATATATTTCTGCATTAAATTTTTTAATACTTTCTAATATTTCGATTGCTTCTTGAAATAAACCTTTACATACTAATAGAGTTTTAATAGATGTCGTCATCTGATGGAAGGTTTTCGACGTTCTATTTTTGTTAATACGAAACATGTGGAAAAAATGAAAAACAAAATGTTTTCCGTGATCAACGTGATCTTTTACTTCGTTTAACTCAAGTTGAAAATATTTTTCCATTAGATCAAAATAAGTATTTGAACTTGAGTTTTTGTTTTGAAAATATTTACACGACAACTGTGTCAGTTCGTGCATTGAATATTTTTCATCATCCAAACGATCTAGTAAAGAATAACTTATTAGTAATCCAACGGCTTCATCTATTAAATATTCTTCATTTACTGTCATTTGTTTTAAGATTTGCCTGATAAATTCTTTATTTATGCTTTGACCATTACAATAAGATAAGCAGTTAAGTAATTTTAATGGAATAATTTTTTTTCTTTCTAATTTTTTTAACACTAAATTGATTGCTTTTATAGCAAACTTTGATTCTTCTTCCGTTGGAAAGTATTCATCATCTAGTATTTCTATAGGTTTTGATTTATATCGATCTATATATTTTTGTGTGGAAATTTTATGTATCTTTATATATTTTATTGCTTGAGTAATAGCGAACGGATGATAACTAAGTTCTTTAATTAGGTTTTTTATGTTTTCGTCGGTGTTTTCTTTTATACTATTTTTTACGTACTCGAAAGCCTCTTCAGAAGAAAAACCATCGATTAACATTTGATTTACTTTATTTGACCATGTTCTCCATTGAGTTGTAATTAAAGTAAACGAATTCGGTTTCTTTGAAATAAACATTCCCAAATTTCGAATGCTTTCATCGTCGACATTGTCAAAAATATACAGAGTTTTTTCGTTTTTATAGTAGTTGTGAATTTTCTCAACAATCACTTCTTCATTGAAAGAATTGCCTTGAGAATCTTGAACAACAAATCCTAATAATTCATAAAGATTCCTCATTGAAGCATGTAACTTTCCAAATCCTGCATCTATCCAAACAAAATGTTCATAAAAGTCATGATGGATTTCACAATATTTTCTGGCAAGTTGTGTCTTCCCGGCACCAGACATTCCGTATAATACTAAAGTTGAGTTTCTATTATCTTGTAAATCGTTAAAATATTGATGAATTTTCGAAAGTTCTTTTTCTCGCATAAAGAACATATCTGCAGTTGGTTGAACACCAAATATTGAACGGACAGTAAGCACTGAAGAAATATATATATATATATATATATATATATATATATATATATATATATATATATATATATATATATATATAAATATATATATAGAGAGAGAGTTTGTATAAATATGTTTAAATAAATAATAAAAATTTAAAAATTTCAAAGTAAAACACAATAATTAAAGAATATCAACATCGATTATTTTAAAAAACAATATTTTTTAATAAATTTTTTTTTATAACAACCCAAAGTAATGTCACTAAATTCATAAGTAATTATTGTTACTCAAGAGAATACATAAGAAATTAAAAAAAACTTTTTATTTCAATTTTAAGTAAGTATTTTTGATTATGAACAAGTTTTAAACCGCTTGTCAATGGCATTAATAAAATAAAATTTTTTTTTTATTATTTTAATAAAATAAGAAAGTTTTTATCTTTTATATATAATCTTTTAATGATAAAATTTTAAAGAATTTGCGTATAAATTATATACGCAATTTTTAAAAAATTTTGTAAATCAGTCACTGTAAGATTGGTTTTTACTTCATTTAAAATTTTAAAATTTTTTCCACAAAAGATCCCTTTCCACAAATACCTAGGCCACTATACCTAGACTTTAAGGCCACAATACTTAATTCATTCGTTGTTTATAAATTTGTATACTCAGGATTTTAATTGGCGAATATATTTATATTGGCGAAACTACTAGCCATTTAAAGACACGAATAATCGAGCACCAAAAAAGGGATAAAAACACACTTATTTATAAACATATTCATTTAAATGAAAGCTGTTTTAACAGTTTTAATTATCCTAGTTTTTCAATTTGGATTCGGCCTCCAACAAATTTATATTAAAACTCAAAGAAAGCATGCTATGTACATGCTGGAAAAACCTACTATTAATAAACAAATGAACCATGTAAAAATGACAGTTTCAATCTAGTTCCTTTTAACATTACCGGTTCTTTTATTTTTTTAAAACATTTGTTACATATTTTAATTTTTATTGTATCTTTATTATAAGATTTCTATTGGTTCAACTTAATTTCAATAATTTGAATTTTAATATATTTTAAGTGATGATGGCTTTGATATAGTCGAAACATGTATTTACAAAACAAATGATTCTAACAAAAATTAAAAAATTTGTCTTCTTTATTAGAATATATATATATATATATATATATATATATATATATATATATATATATATATATATATATATATATATATAAACACTATCATGCTTACCTAACTCATCAGTATAAGATATATATATATATATATATATATATATATATATATATATATATATATATATATATATATATATATATATATATATATATATATATATATATATATAGGCGCAGCGCTTGACATTTCAAATGTAAAAACAAATTTTAAGTAAAAAAGTTAAAATTAAGTACTATTTACTTACATCCATATTTCAGGAAAATTTCGGTTAAACAACACAAATCCATTTAAATATATATCGAAAACTTCTTTTTACTTTTCATAATCTTTATACATGTATATTGTGGCTTCTGTATGACAACTAGACTTTCCGGTTAGATGACATACAGAGGCCACAATACCTAGGTCCGCAAAGACAAGTTCGGCTCCCCAAAGAGCGTCATAACCCACTCTACGGACAAAAAGTAAGGTTAGTTTATTAAGAACAAAGATATATTAGATTAAAAGATAAAAGCAGTTGCGTTAGAAAGATGGCATATGGACAGCGGACAGGAATTGTACACGATGTTAGAAGGTGCAAAACTTACTATTAATTCGGTTACCTAATTAATGTACGACGGATATAACACAAATAGAACTGCTACTTTTTGTGTGTTTTTTATTATCATTTTATCTTAGGACAGAGTTGCATCCTGTTCATTTACAACATGTTCATTAGACGTTCTTAAAACTTTCGTTTTATAGTAGCTCTACATTAATTTTAGTTTCTTTACCTGCTGCAGATACTAGATATAGACCCGAGTCTCAGGGCCATGTCTAGTAGGGCGGAGCCCCCTTTCTTCCTTTCTTCCCAGCCAATAGAGCCCCAAAATCTTAAAAACTTCTCCACTAGGTATTATTAAAAAAAACAACAACCTAAAACTTGCAAAAAGAGCCCTTAAATTAGCAAATAGGTCCCCTAAAATTGCTGCCTCCCCCATACAGTGTTTGGGGGAGAGAAGCCTAGCCACGGCTCTGGATATACTAATATGATTATTTTAAAGTGAAATGAATTTTTTTCGTGTTGTAGGTTTTATCATAATTCATTAATAGATTGAATTTGAGCATGTTAGAATTCGCTACTTTGTACAATTTTTTTTTTTAATTTTTTTTTTTAAGTTTTATTTAGGTTCCCCAAGAAGTTCTTACGGTATTATCACAGAGCACCGCCGATGAGCATTTAATAGGAAGGTTACGCATCCTTCCTAACCGATGTCGCTAAACTTGCCCAGAGGTGGGGTTTGAACAACGGATCTTTTGTTTCTGAGGCAAGTGTGCTACCACTGCGCCATGGCTGTTATGAAATAATAATATAATATAAATTATTAAAATTATAATTAATACAAATATAATATATTTAGATTTTATTATTCTCTAAAAGATATAATTTTCTCAGTTTTTTCGGAATTCAAATCTTTTTTTGTCTCACAATTTTGTTTTGATGTTTTTCACTTTTGAATTATTTATTTTTTACAAGTAGAGTTTTGGAATAACTTTTAATTTAAAACAATATAGGAGTTATAGAAGGGTAACTGAATATATAGAATAATTTTTAACAAAATAGTAAAATATATTAATCACAATAATTTACATAAAGAATTTTTTTTATTTACATTTACATAGATGAGACAGTTATCATTTTAATGTATAATCATATAAAGGTATTTCCCCGTTGTTACTTCTTACGTTGTTGTTTATTGTTACTTTTTTTTTTTTTCAGTTTACAATTATTAATCGTATTATAACAATATAACAATATATAAACTTGGTATCTGAAAGAAGATCCAAATGATCTTGTCGCCAGAACCATATAAAAAATATAATACGTGTATATATAATAAAATAAAATACAATTGATCAAATAACTAATAACAATGTAGAAGAAACAAAAACTGAAAACAATTTTACAAATTATCCAGAGTAAAAAAAAAGAATTTTACATTTCAAAAATATTTATATATATTGCCAGTAGAAAGAATATAGTTTTTTAATTTAGTTTTAAAAACGGAAAACGAAATTGACAAATCAAAATTTGGAACAACAATTCTGTTCCATAAATACGGTGCTCTATAGTTTATGCAAAATTGATTAAACTTTGTTTGACAAAAGGGTTCAATTAATAAATTATTATTTCGTAAAGCATATTTGTTTATAGCTTTATAAGTAAAAAGATCTTTGAAATTGGACAGTGGTCGTTCACTTTTACAACGAAACATAAAACATAAAATATTATAGACATTGAGTTCGTTATCGTTAAGTGCTTTAACGTTCTTAAATAAAATATTTGAATGAGAAAAACGATTTTCGAAACATATTAAAACAGTATGTGGCCAAACCACTGCTAATCCGGTGGTAGCCAAACCACTGCTATTCCAGTGGTAGCCAAACTACTGCTAATCCAATGGTGGCCAAACTATTGCTCGCGGGCAAAAAAATGCCAGCGGATATTTTTTTAAATGAACGCAGAGACATTTTTTTAAATGCCCAGCAGAGATTTTTTTAAAAGCAACAATTTGGATATTTAAGAGAATGACAGTTAAAATTTAAGTTACACTGATTAAAATGGGTTAAACGGCATTATATTAGTTAAGGTGGTAAGCTGGTAAAAAAACATAAAAAAACTACTGCTATTTTTTTTTAACTGTTTTGTATTCAAAATTTATTATAGATTTCAAAAGTATATATTGTCATTGTATTTTTTTTATTTTTTATTTAAAAAAAAACAAGGGTTTTTAGGGTATGGTAAAACTTTTGTTTTAAAATATTTTTGCGGTACACTAAAATTGAAGATCCTGGAATCCATCACCAGTTTTGTCTTCACACTTATGATAGTTGGTGTAATTATTGGAAAAATAGCAAGCGATACAAACTATCAGTTAATTTACCAACTGCAGTGAAAACTGTAATCTCACCAATTTTTAAGGATTTACGTAGCGATGATCTTTTGAGTTACTGTTTAGATGGATCCACTCAAACATCACTGTTTAGATAGATCCAAATGAGGCTCTGAATCAAATTGTGTGGAAAAGGTGTCCAAAAGAAATTTTTATTTCAAAAACCACTTTAGAAATTGGAGTTGCAATAATAAGTTTTAATGATGGCATCTGGACTTGTACAACTTTTTGATAAAATTAAACTTTTGGAACAAAAACAATTAAAGGTTCAATCAAAAAACACTTCGGATTCAAAATATGAATAAAAAATCAACCAAAAAGAGTTTGGAAAGAAGAAAATTGATTAGAGCAAAGAGAAAAGGTTGTTTTATATATATATTTATTATTTAATTTATTAATTAATATTTTATATTATAAAGGACAAAGAAAAAGAACTAGAAGGAGAGGAACCAACTTGGAAATTTTTGAGAATTTTTTTTTTATTTTTTTATTTTTTATGTTAATTAAGGTGGTTGCTCTAGAAAAAAAACATAATTTTGAAAAAAAAAATCAAAATTGAATGTATAGAATAGCATTTAAATTGTTAATAAATACAATTTTTAAATGCTATTCTATACTCTTTTCCAATTATTTGATGGGTCTTTTAAAGTATAAAGATGAAAAATTAGGGTTTTAGAATATGGCTACATTAAAAATGTCCATAACAACGCCTTAGCAATACATTTTGTCTGTGTAAATATTTGACAAGTAGACAAAAATAAGTGGTCTTTTTTTTGTTTTTTTACTCTGATTCTAGAAAGCACTTTATGTTCTGTAAATTACTTAAATGTGTGCGGAGTTAAGTAATGGAACAGAAAAAAGTTAATGAAAGTGATGTAAGTGTG